CTATAAGTGCTTTCTATTTAGCGGCGATGGAAGTAGTGTTTTGATTGTAGGTAAAAGTAGTAGAACTTCATTGTGACGTGAGAAGTGGGGCAGGTTCGAGTCCCACTGCAGTCAGCATGTCGTTGTTGGGATTGTCCACAGCACTGAATGTATGTTAGTCGCTTTGGATGAAAGCGTCTAACTAATGTAACTACATTATCAAAATACATGTATTTCTAACGGTCTGTTTTAGCAGCTTCCCCAGACCTATCCTGGATCTTCCATTCATCTTTCCTTCATATTCATTAGATCTTCTCCGAACTATCCCTAGATCTTTCTTCAATCTTTCCTGGTTTCTCCATCCTTGGGGTCCATAGATGAAAAGATACATTTAGCGGCGGATCTGATTCTGAAACACCGATTGGGCCTTGGTGGAGTTCATTAAACACACTCTGGTTACTTCGCATCACTGCTAATTAGCCACATAACTCTCTCCTTTGGGAATGATGCTAGCATTAGCTAACAAACATCTAGCTGAAAGACAGATGAACAAGAAACATGTTCTCTGCTAAGTAATCCATGTTTACATCTTAGAAGAACCACCTGATTGATTTGATTTTAAAAGCAGAATTTTAAAAATAAAATAGGGACTACTTTCCCAGTGGAAGAACACCAGCAAGAGATATTTTAGGTTTGCTGACTTCTGATTGGCTGAGAAATCCGACAACAAATGAATGACCTCATGTTTGTCTTAGTGTACGGGGGGGACCTGAGGTCAGAGGTTAAGAGGTCACATGACCTCCCCATCACTGATTATCATCGTTACAATGCAGAGAAAGCGACAGCCCACGTCTCATTCTGTGGAAAACTTGTACAGTAGACTATAGTCCTTTATAATATATACTACAGGTACAGAATGTGTGTCAATGTGATATTCACTCAGTGTAAACAGCTACACACGAGCTCTTCTCAAGAGGATTTAGAAACATGTTGTGGTGGTTTTTATTGGTAAGCTAACGTCAGCTAAAGATCAGGACACTTTCAGAACGTTTCCAAACCAACAATCGGAAAAGTTTGCCTCCCTTAGCAGCGTTTGGCCGAGTTAACAGAAGTGAGCAAATTCGCAGGCTTTGAACTTCGACAATTGTTCCTAAAACCCCATTATTTAAAATCCCAAATGATCTGAAAGTTGTCCAGTAGCCCGTAAACCTCACCAAAAACCATTGTTCCCAAAACGGCCATTGCTCAAAATACCCAGTTTCCCTGCGATGAACGCAAACACAGGAGTCATTATTTAGAACATCGAATTTCACAATTTCTGATTCCTTATTTTGCGAAAGCCCTAACCCTAACCCTAACCAGCCCTAATTGGTCATTACTGATTGGCTAACTTGGTTGTATTGACCCATTAAAGGTCATATTCTTTAGGTTAAGGGTTAGAATATCACAGTAAAACATTTGGACTTTTGGAACAATGGCATGGTAAAACTTCTACTTACAATTTGACGCATTTTTCCTAAAGTGGACGAGAAGCACTTTGTACGAACTAGTCAGTCTTAAGGTTACCTTGAAATTCAACATCAGCTGTGTCAATTAATTCAAGGGTGCTTGTGTTAATTGGGAAACTTGGAAAACAAACCTCACTCTTAAATACCCAGAATAAAATGGTAAAATCAGGAGAAAGATTATCGGATCAAATCTGAGATTATAAAATTATACATTTGCAGGAAAAAAATTGTAAATTCTCTGTAAAAATTGAAAAAATAATCAGGATTTTGTAACGTCTATTCCCTTTAACTAA